CGACCAGGCCAGGCCAATCCACACGGCCGTGCAAATTTGCACTTTTGGCCATGTGGATTTTGCCGAGAGCTCACACGGCCAGGGGATAAAATCCACGCGGCCGTGCGAGCATATGGCCTGGCCGTGTGAGCTGCTGGAGCCCCGAATTCAACCTGTTTTCACTCAAAAACGATATTTGACTCTGGATCAACATCTCAAGACTCAAAAAACACAAAAAACAAAATAAAAAAAATAAGAAAATGCAAACCTCGGTGGGGTTGCCTCCCCACAAGCGCTTCTTTACCGTCTTTTAGCTGGACGCCAGTATGGATGCTCAGGGAAGTGTAGGATCAGGTGCCTTCAAGAGCGGATCCAGCTCGACTTGGCCACCTGCATTCGCCAGCTCGACTTGGCCATCCGGTAAGATGCAAGCGAGTGAATACTCGGATGGCCAAGGTGGGGGCGGGACCAGCTCATAGTGGTCTCCGGCTTTCTTTCGAGCAGGCTTAGCTGCCTGCAGTTTCGGCCGCCACTCCTCCTTGATCTGTTCCTTTGGGGGCGGTGTGGACTGGAGTGGCGGCGAAGGTATGGGAGGCGCATCCTGCAAAATAGGCAACACAACAGGATACACGACAGACTCGTGCTCCTGGTGAGATACAGCATGCAGAGGTGACGCAGCAGGTAGAGTATTAGCAATTGAAAACGTTATTCTTTCCTCGCCGTCCCTCAAAACTAAGGTCCCATCATGCACATCTATGAGAGCCTTGGCGGTGGCCAGGAAAGGCCTTCCCAGTATAAGGGGCACTTCTGTGTCCTCATTGATGTCCGGGACAACAAAATCCACAGGATATTTGAATTTGCCAACCTTAACCAGAAGGTCTTCCACTATGCCCCTAGGATGCACTACAGATTTGTCAGCTAATTGAAGGGTCATCCTAGTAGAACGGGGTTCACCTAGGCCTAGTTTCTTGAACAATTTATATGGCATAACATTGATACTAGCACCGAAATCCGCCAAGGACCTCTCTACATGCAATTTATCAATAGAGCACGGGATAGTAAAACTACCTGGGTCCTTCTGCTTCTGTGGAAGCTTGTTCTGCAGAATAGCCAAGCACTCCTCGCTGAGCTCCACAGTGGCCAGCTCACTCAGCTTCTGCTTCTTCGAGAGAAGCTCTTTCAGAAACTTGGCATACTTAGGCATTTGAGATAGTGCCTCCAGGCAGGCACTTGGACATTCAGCTTCCTAAGCATGGCCATGAAGTTTTCGAACTCTGCCTCCAGCCTGTCTCTGTGCAACTGAGTAGGGAAGGGGAGTTTCGGGATATACTCCTTCACCAGCGGTTGCGGCTTCGGTGCAGGCACCTCAACCTCCTTTTCTGCCTCTTCTTCAACCGCTGGAGACCCTAAGACAGGGATCTCTCTCTCTCTTGCTCCCGAGCAGGTGGATCAACAGTCACCTTGCCACTCCTGGTCATGATGGCATTGCAGTGCTCATTCGGGGTCTGCGGATGAGGGATGGTCTGCCCGGGTAGAGTACCAGGAGCCCTTTGAGCCACTGCCTGAGCCACGCTCCCCAACTCGGTCTGGATATCCTGCAAGACAGCCTGTGTGTTCCTCTGACCAGCTTCAAGAGCCAGGAATTTACTCGAGGCCTTTTCCATGAACTACTCAATAGTGTTGAATTTCTGAGTACTAGAACTAGCGAGAGAACCCACCAAGTCCCGCAATTCAGCCATCTGATCATTCTGCACTGGGGTCTGGGGCAGCAGGGGCTGCACCTGGCTGCTGGAAAGGTCGCGGCTGTGATTGAGCAGCATGCCCCTGCATGGGCTGGTAGAGAGACTGTTGCTGCTGCTGGAATTGCCCCTGTCTGGGCTGATATGGTGGCCTCTGGAAACCCGGTGGTCCCTGGGGGACTGGTGGTCTGGAATTTGCCCCACCCCAGGAGAAGTTAGGATGCTGGCACCACCCCTCATTGTAAGTGTTACTGTAGGGGTCATTGCGCCTGACGTTATTGATGAAGTTCACCTGCTCCTGGGGTGTGGTTGATTCTTTCATCGCCTGGCAGTCTTCCACCGTGTGATGGGTGCTCTCGCACCAGTGGCAGAGCATCGCCTACGGCTGTCCTGTACCTGCAATCAAACCAGAGCGATCGATAGCTGAAACCAGCTTCGATACCACCTACACCAAATCTGATGACTGGATGCCCACAGCATGCACACCCCGTCCTGGTGCTCGTCTCGATCTCCTGGCAGTTCCCCAATCGTACCCGTTCTCTGCCATCTCCTCAAAGAGTTGATTCAGCTGTGGCGGTGTTTTGGTCAGCATGTTCCCGCCACAAACTGAGTCAATCAGCTGCTTGTCCTCCGGGAAGAGGGCGTGATAGAAGGTGCCCACCTTGAAGGCATCATTGAAGCCATGATTTGGACACCTCAGGAAGAGACTGTTGTACCTCTCCCATGCATCCCTGATGGTCTCATCCTCATCCTGAGCAAAATGGGTAATTTGCTTCTGCAGGTCAGCTGTCTTGGATGGAGGATGGTAGCGGGTGAGGAACTTGTCCGCCAGGTTGGCGAACGCGGTGATAGAGCCCGGCGGTCGAGTGTCTAGCCACTTCTTGGCTTGCCCCTCCAGAGTAAATGGGAAGTACCTCAGCTGGATGGCATCTGCTGGTACCCCATTGATCTTGATTCCATCGATGAGCTCATGGAATCGCCTGAGATGTGATCGGGGGCACTCCCCCTCCTTACCACGGAACACCACTGAACCACGCAGCATGGTGATCACTGAGGTGCTCACCTCAAAGTTGTTGGCTGGGACATGAGGGTGTTGAATGGGTGACCTCATGGGTGACCTCAGTAGGACCCCATGGTCTGCTCATCTGGATTGATCACATCTTGGTTCTGTGGATCAGCCATCTCTCCTTATTCTTCTTCTTCTTCGATCTGCAGCTGTGATAGCGCCTCTTCCGCAGCCAGTCGTGCCTTTAGCGCCCGCTTGAAGTTCCTGCAGGTTCGTTCAAGTTCCTGGTCTAATGGCAGCAGATCTCCTGACTGGCTACGGGTCATGCACTACCTGCACACAATCAGCAGAAGCAACCCGTGAAGGCACACAGGTGGAAGAGAAAAATGCAATAAAGAAAAAGATAGAGTAACAAATTCTCACGTTTCCCCAATAACCTAGAAGGTCCCCGGCAACGGCACCAAAAACTTCACACGCCAAAACACAACACCAAACTGCGACCAAGTGTAATCGCAGTCCGGGAATGCAGTAACAGGCAAGTTCTATTATCAACTCGGGGTCTAGATCTACTGCTTACTCCGTGATTGTCTATTATCTAGCCAACTAATTCGATTGATTGTTGTTTAAAGCAAAAGCAGTAAGAAAGCGGGAAATGGTTCGGTTTTCAAAAGCAGGTAAGAGTCACTCGGGAATGAGTCCCCCTAGCTCCTTAGTTAGGTTCAATTGTAATTACCCTGGGTTGATTTACTGTTGATTAGACTGCGGAAGATCCGACAGTAGCTTGGAATCTCTTAAGCTGACCAAGCCCTCTCAGTCTAACTACCCGGCAGACAACTAGTCTTCACCGGGATAGAAAGCTGAAGCAATGAGCACAGAACTCCACTATTGGAATTGAATTCCAGTACAAAGCAGTAAACTGGCTAACTCTCGTATAGCCAATCTCCTACTATCGAATGAAGAGGCTCTAACAACCTAATCATATTCTATCTATATCAGGTTGCAGCAGAAATCGAGAAAAGCTTATCAGACTTCAATCAATTCAATAAACATGCATCATTCGATTAAAACCAAACAGTATAATCATCCCAAGTCTTTACAATCAAATCCCTAACACAAGGAACTAGGGTTCTTCATACCCAAGTGAGAGAAAGGTTCTACTCCATAGAGAGAGAGGAGAAAACAGTAATCGGAGTAGTCATACTCATAACGATAAGGAAAATCTGCTCCGGGATGATGATTTCCACTCCTATGACGATCTCCAAGATCGATTCGATGAAACCCAGCTCCAAGATAGCTTCTAGGGTGTGTTCTTCGTACTTTCTCTCTCTCTAGGGCTCTGTTTTTGCTCTGAAAATCCAATTCTCCCACTTTTGGCTCGAAATTGGCTGAAAAACCAGAATTTCCCGACTCACACGGGCAGGCCATACGGCTGTGTGGCTCACCCATTTGCCCGTGTGAGTCGAAACGCAGCGTATCATTAAGTTGGCCTTCAGCCATCCCACACGGCCAGGGTCGCACGGCCGTGTGGATTTCCTGGGATGCCCGTGTTTGCTCTCGGCGAAAGTCACACGGCCACAATTGCAACTTGCACGGCCGTGTGATACCCAGGACTGCCCGTGTGGCTTCCTTAGAACCTCGCCATGCGTTCGATCTTCGTCCAATCGAACCCAAACTCTCTCCCAAGCCTCCATTCACGTACTAGGACCTGAAATATCACAACCAAGCACAACCTAGCGTGAAATCGGCCTAAAACACGAGAATCAATACCTCAAACGGTGTAAGAATAGGGGTAAAAACATGTGTAAATAACGGTCTATCACAGACACTTATGAATGCCAACACGCAGAGAGGGTTCCAGCAGCGGTGGGTAGACTTGCAGACTAGTGAGTGGGGTAGAAACCTACGCTTCATGAACTACTTGAAGGGTGAGTGGATACCATGTGCGCAAAGGTGGGCTCATTGCTACACCATTCGTGTTTTCCATATTGGTAACACGAGCACAAACAGGGTAGAGTCAGCTCATTCGTCCTTGAAGAAATGGCTTGCCAGTTCGACCCACAAGATCGACACACTCTTTCTCAGATATCACACATCCATTGAGGGAAAAGTGACTGAACTAAGAAAGGACTTAGAGGATTCTCGTTTGAAGGTATTTTCATTTTTTCTTCAATGGTGTTGATATTCCTCTGTATACTCAATTTGATTTTGACTTAGAAGTTTGTTCTTTGAAATAGGTATTTAAATTAGCTGACGGTCCGCCATATGGTCACTTGAATATGGAAGTAAGCTTGTGGGCAATTGAGTTGTTGATGAAAGAACGAGCAAGAGAAATTGTTCAGCGATGTGGATGTCGGCTACATGAGACACATGGTTTGCCATGTAAATGTAAGATGGATGCACTTAGTGATGCCGGCATGGAGTTACACCCTCACCACTTACATCGATTCTGGTCATCTTTGGTGCATGAGAGTCCTCCTGATGGTGCAAAATGGGAGGACCATGATGCCACTGAGCGTGGAATTTTTGCAGCCATGGTGGAGGATGTGTACAGGCAAGGACCAGCTGCTGTCCGGAAGGCATCTCAGTTACTACTCCCTCATATTCGTCCACAAGTTGCAGGCCTATTAGAGCCTAGAGAGTCAGAGGCTCCAAAGGGACGACCACCAAAGAGGTCGAACACTAGAGATCCTTCTTGGTTTGAGCATGAGAGGACACGAACGGCAAAGAGGAGCAAAACAAATGAGAACACGAGAAAGACACACAAGACGACTCCTGCAGGTTAGCAAAATTCTTATCTTTTTGGTGTAATCATACTCCTTGGTATGTAGCCTTTTATAGTAGTTATTTTTTGTACCAACAGGAGGTGTCTCGAAAAGTCAGCATATGCAAGTCCACAATGAGAGAAATGTTTGTCCTTATCTCCGCTATATCCCACTTAGCGTCCGCCCTCTTCTTAGAGGTTGGTTTGACCCAAAACCAGACGGGCAATGTGGTTTTCGAGCCATGTCACATGTGATTTATGGAGACGAGGAACAATACTTACAAATGAGGCAAAATCTTGTCACAGAAATCAATGATCATAGGTCTATCTATGAGGGGGTTTATCTTTACAGAGATGGATCGTTGGAGGCAACATGTCATAGGCTGGATCGTCGGACTGCTGGGAGTTGCACACAAGAGTATTGGTTTGAGGAGGTGGATTTGCTGACATTCGCAACCCTATACAACTGTGCAATTGTTGTTTATGGACTGTATAATGAACGAACCACGTATGGGTACACAGTCTTACCTTCGACGGCGCCGGAAGGGGTCACTCAACCTAGTCAAGTTATAACTCTTGCTTTTACTGGGGCACATTGGGTGCGACTATATTTTGGCAAAGTTGATGGGGTCACACCAATACCTCATTTTAGTCCACAGTGGTCTCACTTTCGGGATATGCTAAGAATTGCTGATTGGGATTCGTTATACGAGCCAGGGCGACAATTGTATGTCGATCTCGGAGGACATCATCCAGCGAATGACGATGACAAGAGTGATTAAACATTGTTGCATTATTTTTTTTAAGATTTAACATTATGTCGAATTATGGATTTACCTTTGTGTCATTATCAAGTGATTTGGATTTTATATTCTTATGGATTTACCTTTGTGTCATTATCAAGTGATTATTATTTTATATTCTTACATATAAAGAGGATTGTAATTATCCATTTTTTTATGAAATCATATTGTCTTGAAGCCCTACTTATAGATATTATTTATTAATATATAATTTAAGCATTCATTATAGCAATTCATCACCAATCATATAAATTCATCTCTAATAAAAAATGTAGATTAATTGTAAAATGTAAATCACACTATTTAAAAATTAAATGTAAATCTCAATGATTGTACGTTAATTATAAAACTCAATATTGGTTATAAAACCAATTAATTATACATAACTAATTAATTATAACACAATATTTAAATGTTGTACATTAGTTATATATATACTAATAAAATCATCACTCATAATAATAACAATTGTACATTAAGCTGTCCTGCAATTCTGGGCATAAAATCATCACTGATAATAATAATAATACATTCTAATCACTTATTCAAACAACCAAAACAAACCGCACTGATCCTGCAGCCCACGACCCGACCAGCAACCAGACCCGCGATTCCTCGATCCGTCTCACTTTCTCCTCCTTCCTCGATCGCGATTCCTGCTCGGCGAGACGGTTCCTTCTTCTTCCTCCTCCTCCGAAAACCATAGACCGGCAGACGATTGAACCGGCGGGGTGGAGTGCTCAGCGCGACATTTCCATCTTCGTCGGAGTGCTCAGCGTGATTCCTCAGCGCGATTCCTCGATCCGTCTTCTTCCTCCCCCTTCCTCGATCGCGATTCCTGCTTGTAGCGTCCGCACTCTTCTTCCTCCCAATAGTAGCAGAGACGGCGATTCCCGCTCGAGAAGCCCTTAATCAGCGTCATCGAGAAGCCCTGGTCGCGGCAATCCTGTTGGCAGAGACAGGTGGCCGAGCAGCAGAGCAGCCGCGCTTTTTTCGTCAGCCGCCGAGCAGAGCAATGTCAATTAGGGATTAGGGCGGCGTTTACAAGTCGCAAAATTAGGGAAGGGCAGCGATTAAGGGCGGTGGCTAATAGGGGTAATATTGTCTGTTTGGTTAATTTAGGGCGTAAAATTTAAAAAACTAGGGCGTTAAATAGGAATCCAGGAGAAAAATGGTGAACAATCAACGATGGTGGTTTTAATTTTTAAACGTTAAGGCCCTAATAACGAACTTAATTACATGATTGCCCTCAACCCACATAATGGATTTCCTCACGAATTCGGTACAAGGGTAAATAAAATTTAATAGTCAAACCTTTCATTTTAAACAAAATAATAGCCAAACATTTTCAAAAATAAAATAATAGCCAAACCGTTAACTTTCCGTCCTATCAACTGTTAGTTGATTCTGACGTGACAAACTTTTTACTGAAATGTAATGAATTTAATGACGTGACACAAAATCAAACATTTAACTCTACTACATAGTTAATTATAAAATTTAAATCATTATTGTATTCTCATGGAAAACATTTATCTATCTTCATTCCCTCCTCCCCTCTATCTCACTACAGAAACTCCGCCACAGTGAAAGGCAACCTCGTTGCCGACTTCTCCGAGTTACCATAGCAGTTGAGGAAGTTCCTGGCGGCGAGCTCCAGATATATTTTTCCTTTCATCCTGATTTGTTACTTCTTCTTCTACTTCTCGTCCCTCCTCTGGAATCGAAAATTTGGATAGCGAAATCCTCCTCTTCGACTTGAGAGGATTGACAACGACCTCCGACGATGGGTTCTCCTGGGCTTCTAGAGTAGAATGAGGTGTTGATGGGTTTTTCTAAGGCATGTAAATTTTACTGGTTTTTGAGTTATTCTACAGAAAATCATTGGCCATATCTAGGTGTTGCTGGATCCACTACAATATCGCCGCCACACATCTTTTTCCGCCCCTCCTACTCCTTGACCTCCCCCCAACCCGGCCAGCAAGATCGGAATTGAACAGTGCTAATTAACAATCTCGCCGGAAGAGGAATTAGCCCATATGAACTTTGATATGTTCATCGAAACAATATCCCCTCCTTGGACCTGTCGATGACAGAGAGGGTCGACAAGAAAAAGAAAATATTATCTTCCCCTTTCATCCTCAGTTGCTTCGATCTCTCTCTCACATTCCAAATTTTCCTTTGGTTTGCTTGTTTTGCTTCCCAATTGGGACGGTTTTCTGGGCAAAGGAACAGTTCTTTCTGCCTTTCTCCGGAGGAAGATGGTGAGTGAACTGTGAAAGGGTAAGTCCAACCAGATTTGCCTTCTTTCTTGCTTGAGAGACTTGATCCAAAAACATAAGGCAAGAATGGGGAAGGAAAGTTGCAAGGCGTTTGTTTTCTTCCGTTTGGTTTGCTTTCAGGTTTTGGTAGGGAGCGTTTCGGCGAGAGACTTCGTGGGGAATATGAGGGTATGGTAAGGGCGGCGGTTATAGCGGTGGGTGCGGTTTTGGTGGAGGGGCTGGAGAAGAAGAATGGGTTTGGTAAGGGCTGCGGTATTGGCGGTGGAGCCGGCGGTGGGATTGGGTTTGGTGGAGGAGTTGGTGAGGGCAGAGGGTGAGGCGATGGTGGCGGGTTAGGAGGTTGAGCTGGAGCTCGCAGTTGTGGACTGGGTGGTGGCTTGGTGGGACCTGGGATAGGTAAGTGATAGGAAATCAGTGGCAAGATTGAGAATGGTAGAGCGACGAAACAGAGGTGGTGGGATCGGAAAAGATGAAGGGTTTTGGTGGAGGATTTGGGGCGGTGCTGGTGGGGGAATTGGGAAGGGTGGAGTAGGTGGGTAGTTTTTTTTTTTTTTTGTTATAAATAAATTTCCATGTGGCAAGTGCTAATGTTTGAATTTCTTGCCACGTCATAAAAAATCATCCAACTCAGCAATAGGTTTGCCACGTCATAGTCAACTAACTGTTGACCGTACGGAAAGTTGCAGTTTGGCTATTGTTTTGTTTTTGAAAAAGTTTGGCTATTATTTTGTTTAAAACGAAAAGTTTGGCTATTAAATTATATTAAACAAATTATCATTGACTTTGTAGGGGTAAAATATATCGTGCATTCCGTTAAAGTTGACAGAATATTCTTGTAATATTCCATTCTCTAAATTTTAGGATTGGTCCTTCTACTTTTTTTATTGTAAACAATCATTTTGACTTATAAAAACATCATTTTTCTATTGTTTAGTTGGAATAAAAAAATAATCCTTTGGACTTATCAATCCTGTTTTGAAGAATGAAATATATAATTAATTATCATTGTAAGTATTTTAATTATCATTATGTTCAAATAATTGAATTATTCTATGAATTATCTTGATATAAATAATCTGAGAATGTTATATTTTGCTTTCTTACATGCTGGTGTTTATCTAATTTTCCATGTTAAATCTCATTGTAATTCTCTAATATTATATTGAAACGTGTTCCATATTAGTTAAATTTAATATTTCTAATTCTTTTCCTAAAGTCTTATTTTATTTTCTAGATTTTTTACGGAATGTTGTAGCTTTTACAGTTTACTTCTACAAGATATATAATGGAGATTCATGTCTAAGATTTGCTCCATTTTGAAAATCCTGGCCTGAGAGTGTTTCCCGGAAGGGCATTGATGACATTTCCCAGTTGCTAAATGATACTCTGCGTTTTGTTTCACTTAGCCAAAGTCTGGCCCCATAGCTGCGTGAGTGGGCCTTTTTTATCCTCCCATTTGGACCTCCTTTGATATCCGTATTTATAAAGCCTTAAATTTAAAGGTTACATAATTGATTGGAACGCTTCGCTTCGATCTTTCCGCTCCAGTCAAACGTATCCCAATGGTTTAACTTTTATTTCTATTATTTTATTTCACTTCTTATTTTGTTTTTTGTTTATTGCGGTTCATTTTGTGAAGCAAACCAACCGGCCAGATCTTCTTCATCCGGTGACATCATCCACTACTCTTTAATCTACCATCATTAGTTTTTTAGTTTTTACACTGGACCCAATTTTACTTTTTTCATTTGTTATATCCCTTTATAATAATAATGTAATTATTAGGAAACTGAACCAAAACCAGCCTTTTAACTTAGGATTTTAAAAAATAATAGGCCGGTTGGGTTCAATAATATTACTATGAACCAGTGTAGGATATTAATTTCACTAATTTTCAAGGTAGGTCGAGAAAAAGAGTTACAAGTTAATAGTCGAAAACATGATTAGCTATATTATTATAAACATTGTTGTCGGATATTACTTTCACTAAGTTTCAACGTTGCCAACTCGGTTTCAATCATTAGTCTGGTTGAGAAAATGAGTTAAGAGTTAATGATTGAAAATTGATTTGACCCGAATATACGAAAAACTCATGATATTGTGCACACATACATAGTATTTTATTATACGTTGAGTAAAATCAAAGGTATCATATACATTTGGTAAGAAAATGTTATATAGACTTTGAATTAACCAGATTTTGGGCATGATATTATATCCTAACCCTTAATAAGTAAAGCCTAGGTTTTAACCATGTAAACCATAGACCCTAAACACCAAGATAGTGCATAGAATGTGTTGGATGTATTTCGATGAAATATGACTGTCGATTATTGTTTATGATTAAATTGGTCTTAGTGTATGAGATTCATAGAATTAAGACATAAATTTTCATTTTTAAGGGTTAAGGTATAGTACCATGTCTCAAACTTCGGGCAACTCAAAGTCTATATATCAGTTTTCTTGCTCTATGTATGTCATACATTTAATTTTATTCAATGTACAATATAACCATCCACATATATATACACATGACTGGTGTACTCCTGGATTATACCATATTCCAATTATATGATCGTTAGATGTACTTCAAAAAATAAGAATCAATGGTATTTTTTTATTAACTTGATCTTCGGGTTTGAGCCTAAAGAATCGAGACATTGGTTTATCTATAATAGATAAGGGTATAGTATCATA